GGCCAGCCCCAGCCCGTCTCCCAGCCCGTCTCCCAGCCCCAGCCCGTCTCCCACGCCCCACGTCCCTCCCCCAGCCCCAGCCCGTCTCCCAGCCCGTCTCCCAGCCCATCTCCCAGCCCCAGCCCTCCCCCAGCCCCAGCCCCTCCCCGCCGGCTGTGGTCCTGTCCCAGACCTCCTCTGATCCCTGCGAGGGTGGGGTCACCGTGGACAGCAATGGCTACTGGACCTACACCAACGGCAAGTCCTCCATCCGTGAGGTCAAGGTGATCAAGTATGATCCCAACCCAAACAATTACAACCAGGAGATCCTGTGCGGCGTCAACTACGCGCAGCAGAAGGGCCTGTGCACGTCTGGGTCGTGGAAGATCCCCGTCCAGTATGGCTACAAGGGCTGCATGATGGTCCAGATCGACTACGACGGCGGCTGCAACTCGAAGGACCCCGTCTTCTGCTTCAATTAGTAAAGCAAACCCCATTCATCCCAACCGAAAAACTCGCTCCGCGCTGCCTGCGGACCAATAGGGGCATGTCCCCACCCACATTCCCCCACTCCCACCCCCCCTTGCTCCCCCTGGCTACTGCCCCTCCCCCTCTTCCCCATTCTTTGCCCAAGATGTCGGCACGCGGCATCTGCAGCGCCCATGTACACACATCGCGACCGTCAGATGGGCTGTCCCATGTCTGGTTGGGTCTGCGCTGCACTTACACACGACGCATGCTTGGTGGGGCACAAGCGGGGGGTCCCAGGCCAGGTTTCACAAAAGAGGGAGTGCTCTCTCCCGGAGAGAAGTAGGGGGGGGGGGGGGGGTGCACATGAGCAGGGGTATCACTGCAGGGGGGCGCCTGTTCGAGCACAGAGCTCTCTTCAGGTGGGCGCCCCCTGGGCCGGTCATTGACGCTGCAGGGAGCATGACGCGCTCCTTGCCACAACAAACGTTGGTCCGAGCTTCCTCCTCGCACCCTCCATCCCACTTGGACTTCCCCCCCTCCCCCTCTCCTCCAGCCCTCAGTCGGCCTTCACCGACTCGAAGATCTTGTAGGTGAAGAGGTAGGAGGAGAGGAAGCCGATTGTGCCGCTTGCCAGGAACATGCACCAGGCCATGAGCCCGGTGTAGGCGAGGTAGAGGACGACGGGGACGAAGCCGGAGAGGTTGTGCAGGGTGTTGAACAGGAAGCCGACGGAGTAGATGGCGACGTAGGCGGCGACGGAGCCGCCGCGGTGGTAGGAGCGCCACCACCATAGGTAGTCTTCGGCGCACAGCTGGACGTAGGTGCAGACGATGCTGACCTCGATGGTAATGATGAGGGTCAGCGCCGCGACCAGGGCCAGGAAGCCGAAGATGTAGTAGAAGTAGCCCTGCCACAGGCTGGTCATGGCAAAGTAGAGCTCCACGAAGATGGTGCCAAAGGGGAGCAGGCCTGCCGCGACAAAGAGGACCAGCGGGTGGGAGGCCCAGTGCGGGGCGGGGATGTGGCGCGGGATCTGGTTGGTGCGGGAGGGCCAGGGCGCGATGTCGCGGCGCGCGGCCAGTGCACCGCCGCCGTAGGCCAGCGGGATGCTGACCAGGAGCCAAAGGAAGATGATGGAGAAGAAGAAGCCCAGGGGGATGGTGCCCGCCGACCCCGTGTACCACAGGAACATGTTGAGCACGGTGAGCACCGCCACGGTCACGCCGGGGAAGAAGCAGGCCACGCGCCAGCACACCTGTGTACTTGGGGGGTTGGGGAGTTGGGGTGAGTGCACATGAGCAGGTGTATCACTGCAGGGGGGCGCCTGTTCGAGCACAGAGCTCTCTTCAGGTGGGCGCCCCCTGGGCCGGTCATTGACGCTGCAGGGAGCATGACGCGCTCCTTGCCACAACAAACGTTGGTCCGAGCTTCCTCCTCGCACCCTCCATCCCACTTGGACTTCCCCCCCTCCCCCTCTCCTCCAGCCCTCAGTCGGCCTTCACCGACTCGAAGATCTTGTAGGTGAAGAGGTAGGAGGAGAGGAAGCCGATTGTGCCGCTTGCCAGGAACATGCACCAGGCCATGAGCCCGGTGTAGGCGAGGTAGAGGACGACGGGGACGAAGCCGGAGAGGTTGTGCAGGGTGTTGAACAGGAAGCCGACGGAGTAGATGGCGACGTAGGCGGCGACGGAGCCGCCGCGGTGGTAGGAGCGCCACCACCATAGGTAGTCTTCGGCGCACAGCTGGACGTAGGTGCAGACGATGCTGACCTCGATGGTAATGATGAGGGTCAGCGCCGCGACCAGGGCCAGGAAGCCGAAGATGTAGTAGAAGTAGCCCTGCCACAGGCTGGTCATGGCAAAGTAGAGCTCCACGAAGATGGTGCCAAAGGGGAGCAGGCCTGCCGCGACAAAGAGGACCAGCGGGTGGGAGGCCCAGTGCGGGGCGGGGATGTGGCGCGGGATCTGGTTGGTGCGGGAGGGCCAGGGCGCGATGTCGCGGCGCGCGGCCAGTGCACCGCCGCCGTAGGCCAGCGGGATGCTGACCAGGAGCCAAAGGAAGATGATGGAGAAGAAGAAGCCCAGGGGGATGGTGCCCGCCGACCCCGTGTACCACAGGAACATGTTGAGCACGGTGAGCACCGCCACGGTCACGCCGGGGAAGAAGCAGGCCACGCGCCAGCACACCTGTGTACTTGGGGGGTTGGGGAGTTGGGGTGAGTGAGAGAGAGAGAGTGTGTGTGTGTGCGCGCGTGTGAAAAAGGGGGAGGGTGGTGGGGAGGGGTTGTGCAGAGTGGAAGGGGAGAAGTTGCGGTGGGGGTGGGGTGGAGGCTTCAGGGAGTGCATTGTGACGTCAACCACGCGACCCAGTCCGCATCGTGGGGACCCCCCCTCCCATCCACCCACCCACGCGCACCTTGTGCCAGCCCTCATAGGTGCGGTTGGCCACGCCCCAGAGCCAGACGGCCGCCGCGCCCGCCGCGACGGAGAGCAGGAGGTACATGGCCAGCGCGGCGGTGAGCAGCGAGCCACGCGCGGCGGGGGACAGGAAGCCCAGCGAGGCGAAGAGCAGGGTCACCCCCGCGCTGGCCAGGATCTGCACCCCCGACCCCACCTGCACCGCCAGGGACAGGGTGTCGGGGGGCGCGCGGAAAACGTCGCCGCCCACCATCTTCCACCCCGACTCCTCCGCCTCGGGCGGGGGCGCGCCGGGGCCGGCCGCCCCGCCGTCCACCAGCAGGGCCTCGTAGTGCGCCAGGTCGCGGCGGATGGTGCGCAGCGTGATCAGAGCCACGATGCACGACATGACCACCACCACCATGAGCGAGTTGAGGATGGAGAACCAGTGCACACGCCCGCCGGGCATGCGCAGGTACGCGTCCCAGCGCGAGGCCCAGGTGATGTCGCTCGTGTCCCAGTAGACGTCATAGGTGTACACGATGCGGGCGCCTGGGCGGGGCAGGAGGGTGGGGATGTCCGGGTGGGGGGGGGGGGGAGGTGTGTGACACACCCGGATCACTTCCAGGGACCAGTGCGAGGCAAGCCTCGAGACGGTGCCCGCCTGCCCCCCGCCCCCCGCCGTCTCCCTGCTCTGCGACCTGCCTCACACCCAAGCAGAGGCCACGATGCCCACTACCCTTCCCCCTCCCCCCCCGCCCCACCTTCCTTGACCTCTTGGGCCTTGGGCGCGCTGGGGTCCTCGTAGGACTGCGGGCAGGGAACGTTGGCCAAGGGCTTGCCGGGCTCGCGCGCGATGGAGCAGGCCACGACCTCGAAGCCCACGATCATGTACAGCTTCTCCGCGGCGCCACCGGGGGTCTCGCCTGCCAGCATCTTGCGCCCAGCCAGCTGCGCGAGGGGAGGGGG